AAGAGGAGGAAGAGGAGGAGGAGGAGGAGGAGGAGGAGGAGGAGGAGCAGGAGGAGGAGGGAGGAAGCAGGTGGAGGGGGGAGGAGGATGGAGGGAGGGAGGAGGGAGGAGGGAGAGGGAGGAAGGAGGGAGGGAGGAGCATGGGCAGGAAGGAGGAGGAGAGGAGGATGAAGGAGGAGGAGGATGAGGAGGAGAAGAGAGTACGAGAGAGGAGGAGGAGGAGGGACGATGAGGGCAGGAGGAGGGAGGGGGAGGGAGGAAGGAGGAGGGGAGGGGTCGAGTACAGTGGAGACCCATGCCAAGAAGCACCCTGCTCGCCTCCCGGGTGCCCTAGGTTCCTTGAGATACTTGCGACTCAATTTTCTCGAGCGGGGCGTTTTCGCCTTTTTTCGGGTCCCAGGACCCTCACAGATCGATCCGGCTCGAAAAACGAAGCAGAAAGATGGGGTCTGGGGCTCCGGGCGCGGATTTTTACGATTTTAAGGGTTTCTTGGGTTTGGATTGTTTTTCGATGGGCAGTGTGATGTTCTCCCACGCCAAAAATCAATGAGGAGGAGGAGAAGGAGGAGGAGGAGGCGGAGGAGGAGGAGCATGATAATGATGATGATGATGATGATGATGATGATGATGATGATGATGATGATGAGGAGGAGGAGGAGGAGGAGGAGGAGGAGGAGGAGGAGGGGAAAGGAGAAGAGGAAGAGGAAGAAAAGATAGGATGATGATGATGATGATGATGATGATGATGATGATGATGATGATGATGATGATGATGATGATGATGATGATGATGATGATGATGATGATGATGATGATGATGATGATGATGATGATGATGATGATGATGATGATGATGATGATGATGATGATGATGATATAGTATAGCGAGCGATCACAATGATCCGTACCGATGACCGTGGCCAGCCCAGGGTGGCGCACACCCAACCACCTACGCCACCTGGGCAGGCTGGGGGATGACGGGAGGCGGAGGAGGGCAGGCAGGGGGCGGGAGAGAGGCTGGGCGGCGCCTGATGGCGGCGAGGGTCGCCGCGACGTCGGCAGCCACCGCGTCGACCCCGAACGGCGCCGCACGCCGCGCGCGCGGGGCCGCGCTCGCCGCTCTCTCTCCTCCCTCCCCCCTCGCCTGAGCCCTCTCCTTCCGCTCCTTCCCCCAAACCAGGCTGCCAGGGACCTTACCCTGGGCAATCCTCTGAAGATTCTGAGAACCCGCCTTCTCAAGGCGGCCCGAACACTCCTTACTCAGGTCTCTAGGGTGCTGGGTCGAGTAAGCTCCACATGTGAGGCACCACAAAACATTGGCCTCAGGCCAATAAGCCAGAGCATGGGAGGGGTCCACAAGACGAGTTCTGACACAAACCGCAGCCGTCGGACGAAAAACCGATCCAGACCAGACCATGGGAGTGCACGGCGAATTCAAAAACGCCGTTAAATCACGGCTGGCCGAACTGCACCCACATTTCTGACACCTCGAGAAATCCCCACAAATCATAGGGCACGAATGGGTGGTCCGAGCCGCCGCAGAACGCAAGAGCTGTCGAGCCGACCTCCGAGCCTTCACCTTGGGGGGTCGGGGAGGCCGTCGGCCCTCGCGCTCCAAAACATCAGACATCACATCCAAGAGGTGGTTCTGCACTTTCCGAGCGAGGCCGTCCGCGAAACGGACGGGCGCCGAAACTCCATAGGGCACCTGGACCTGGGACGCAAAATGGCCAGCAACTAAGTCGGCCACAGCATTCGCCAGGACAACTCCAGGATTCAAACCCCGACGGACGGCATCCTCAACACTGAGATGGCTCGGAATCTGCACGGGAGCCACATCACCGAGACGATCCAGAGCACTCTGGGCGCGGCTCCACAAGTCAGAATGGGTCTGAATTCGCTTACGGAGGCCAGCCTGGACACGAGCGAAACCTCGGGCAACGTACGCCGAGTCCGCAATATATCCCAGGCAGGCTCCATCACACGCAGACTCAAGGAAGACTAGAAGGGCCCAGAGCTCCCCCCGATTCACAGACTGCTTTCCAGAGATCCCCCCTTTTTAAAAACTTAATGTCGGCTTCCGACACCAGGGGGGGAATATTCAAAACATCATGGCCAAAAACCGCGACGCCCCAAGACACCCGCCTAAGACGCTTATCCTTCGTGAACTCCCCACCACTCGCGTCCCCAGCGCCCCAGATGCGAGTTCCTCCACAAGGCCCAGGAAACACACCAGCGGCAGAGAGGATCGGGTCGTCGGGAGGAGGAGGGACCGACGTCCATTCGCGGGGTACGAGGCCGCGAAGCCAGAAGCATGGAAGATCAACTGCAGCAGCAGCCGCCTTTCGAGAGAACGCATTATCAATTCGCTGGAATTCGGCATTGCACGGGCATTGCCAGAAACGATGAATGTCCGTCTCTGGCTCAAGCCCACATCGAGGGCAAGTGACCTCGCACCCCCCCCCCCACACGCCTGAATTCGAGCTCGCGTCCAAACAGCCCCAGTGAGGACCGCCCGAAGCAAGCCCCACTTCTGCACCGACTTTCGTCGCAGAGACGCAAGGTGCCTCCACGGGACCGTAAGGTCGACACCAGATGCAAGACCCACTCCATGGCGGAAATCGGCGGCAGCGGACCATAAACGCGCCTCAATGCTTCGGTCCACTTCTTTCTTAAAGTCCGACGTCATAAAAGCCTGGGAGCGAAGCTCATCGGGCAAGGCGAAGACATCCCCCCCAGGAGCAACCCAAGACCACGGCCCCTCGAGCTTCCATCCCAGGGCCGTCATCGTGGCAACCACAGCAGAGACGGGCCCTTTGACATTATGCCACCTGCGCTGGGGCCCCAAGGAGTCGATGCGATCAACCGTGGCTTTCCAACAGGCGCGCATGCGATCCAATCCTTTTTCTGGCAACGCAGCAACAATCTGAAACCAGGACTCCAGCAGCTGAAACACAGTGGTGAAAGCTGGGTCCTTTTTTTTCCGAACCTCGAGCGCCAACAAGGTCGTGAGACATCGCCCTGCCGTGCCACGAGCTAAAGTGCTAGCGAGAGCCCTCCTCCATTTCTGCAGGACCGAGGGCGCGACCCCAAAGACCTTCCAGGCGTAAGAAGCCTGCGGCAAAGCCCCAGTGAGGATCAACCGCGCCCCGATCTTACGAGGGGCCACTGCAGCTAGCTTACTAATTCGGCAGGCTCGACGAGTGGCCTGACCCAAACGCTTTGAATGACGAGGCTTGGCAACTGCAACGCCACTGCCTCTTTCGATGCCAAGATCCGCCGCAACCGAGGCCACATCGACCTGGATGCCTTTCAGACCTAGACCATCTTGGATCGCTCTCGCCACCGACAGCTCTGACGCCACGATGGTTGACTTGTTAGCAATCTTGAGCTGCTCAGATTCACATCCCGACACCAAAAACAGCACCGGAGGAAATGAGCTCCCGAATTACATCTCGCTTCAATCCCTCGGCACGCTGAGTGACATCATCTATCCAGGTGCGCATGGACACGAGAGAACTACTGGCACACGCACGATCACAAATTTCGAACATCTGGCATTTCGAGAAATCGGGGGCCCTGCGAGCGCCAGCCACGAGGCCCCCGCGCGGAAGAATGGGAGGGGCATAGACCCCCTCGTCCCGCAAAAGCCTGGGCCCCATATGGAGAATAGTTTCCAGGGCCAAGGGGTGAGGGGGAAACTCCAAGTCGATCGCATGATCGACAACCTTTTCCCATCGAGTGGTATCATAAAAAGCTTCGACATCCCGCAGGATCGACGCTGAGCAATACTCTGGCAGCACAGACGCAAGAGCAGCCTCATCAGCATAACACCTGAGCAGAGCCTCTCGTAGAGCGCTGTTGCCTCGAACCGCGGCGTCCCAAGGGCCAGAGCGAGCAGAAGCCCAACTCTCCGCAGGCCGAGACCGCGTGCGACTCCACAACCGACCCAACCAGGTGAGCAATCTTATGGCGTGATCCTTACGCACATCAGGTTTGCGAAGCAAGACGATGATGGCAGTCAACCATTGCCGAGGCCACGCGACCCTAGCTTCAACCTGCTGGAAGATGGCAAGCAGCGCACGGCGGCCAGACTCAGACAGCCACCGCACGTCCCTCTGGCCGACCGACTCGATGCCACGGGCCTTCCGCGGCGAAATGCCACGGAGCGCCTCCTCCAGCTGATCCAGGGTGAGCGGCTCCAGCACGTCGTGCAACGCCAGCTGACGAGCCTTGTCCAGCACGCGGAAAGCGAGACCATCGTCGTGTCCCGACGGTGTCCAGAGCTGGGTCCAGACCGCTGCCTTCGCCTCCATCACTGAAGCAGCGTCGCAAGATGTAGCTCCGTCCAGCCTCGCTTCCGGGACCTCAGCCGTGGGATCACGAACGAACTGATGGAGAGCTCCACAACCCAGAACGGCCTGCTGGTGCACCCAGTCGCGGAAGGATTGGTGCCGCTGCCGCGCAACAGCACGCTGGGCCTGGTCCGAGGCCGCACGCGCTCCTTCGGCGAACTTCGTCAGAGAATCATGCGAGGCTCCATCCAGCGTGCGCAAGCTCCTCAACCACCGATCCCGACGGCGAGCAGGAAGAGGGACAATCTGCGAGGAGGGAATCGACCCCGCAAGATGTCGCAACTGGTCTCGCAGGTGACGGGCACGGGGAAGGTCTCGCTTGTCTCCCTTCTGACCGACAAGTTCGTCTAGCAAGTTAGCTACCGTCCCCCGCCATCTAGCACTGAGGTCAGCAACTGTGGGATAGGGCTTGCTACCTTCATAACAACCAAGCTGAGGGCCCCGAAGCTGAGAACGTCCACAATACTGCCTTCTCGCCAAGGGGTCCACCTTATACAACTCGAGATAATACAACTCCATGGTGGACACCCAGGTTGCGAATTCAGTACCAAGAGCCTGAGCGTCAGCATCAGCAGCTTGAAAGGCCAGAGACTGCTGAACAAAATCAGGAACAGGAACAACCGATTGCGAAGGCCTGGGCGCCACCTGCTGCCACAGCAAGTCCTTCGCCTCAGCAGACCACTCAGCCTGGATGGAAGCGTACGTGTCCAATTCAGAATCCGAGACGGCCACCTGCTCATCATCGTTATCTTCAGGGACATCCGTATCTTCCTCGTCCGTGAAAAACTCGTCTTCGTCCTCACCAAAGAGGGAGTACTGCAAGGGCGGAGGGCTCTTGATGCTCAGCTTACGCCTCGGCCCCCACGTCGGCGGAGATGGCGTCAACGTCGGCTGGGGGCGAGCATCCCGAAGGGCCTGGGCCTCCGCTTTCTTCTGCGAACGCTTGCTGTCAGGGTCGGCTACAGGCTTTGGGCGAGCGGGATGAGGGAAAGCACGAGGCAACCGCATGATCCAAGCTCGGGCCCGACTGGCGTCGAAGTTGAGCTGAAGCTTGAGACCGTAGTGAGCCTTCCCCGCCTCCTCGACCGCCTGAAAGTCAGCAAGCAACGACTCGACCCAAGGCACCGCATGCTGAGACACAACCATGTAGTCCAACATTCGACCTGAGCCCAGCGTGCAGGTATACTCCGTGTTGGTGGGGGTGATGATCGCGCCGTTGACCAAGGCCAGCCAGCCTGTGCTCGCCAGCTCCTTCGGCGTCATATTCCAATCACCGATGGCCAGCCATGGCCCCTGGATCGTGGAAACCAGAGTGCCAACGTTGGCTAGCTTGGCAGCATTCGCCTTCGGGCCCACCGACGAGGTCATGTATACTCCAACAATCAACAAAGACTGGCCTTGGGCCCTCAGCTGCATGGCCACCATATCCCGAAAATCAATGCCAGGCTGGTCCTTCGGACCTCGATCCAAATCTCGCAACCCGACCTGATCCGAGGGGGATGAAGCTAGGTGGCGCAACGACTGAACCTTGTACTTCTTAAGGGTGCCCATGGTGATGCCTCCTGCCTTGGACTTACCATTCGACTCGTAAGCCGCAGAGAGCATGCCAATGTAGCCAGCCTTCCTCCAGTCATGCAGCAAGTCGTGGGACCCCGCAACTGGAACGTGGGTCTCTGGGAAGACAAGGATATCCGCTTCACGATCGCGACAGACCGACCGCGTGGCAGGGCCCCATCCACCCAGGTTTCGCATATACAGAGTTCGCCTCGTCGACGAACAAGTAGGGGCCGATCTTGTACGTGGCACAGGCGGGCTCGCCCCTCGAACACTAGGCCCGCCGCGAACGAGGGGATCATATTGGCTAAAGGCCAGACTGGCCTGCCGAAGCCGCCGTCGACCTCGCCGTGGCCAGCGTCGCCTCCGCCTCCTCCTTCAACTTGGACTCAATGGCCGCCAGACGGGCGGCCTCAACTGCATCAGGTGCTCCAGGAGCGGTCGCCGCCGCAGGCGCATCCCCGCCAGGGGCGGGCGCTGGCGCCGCCGACGCTGCAGGCGCAGCAGGCGCCTGGCCCGCGGCCTGCGCAGCGGCGTCGCCTGCAGGAGCCGCGGCTGCCCCAGCAGCGGCGCCTGCCCCAGCAACGGGCGGTGGCCCAGGGGAGTTCTCCCTGCGCCTCTTGGTGATCTTCTCGCGCATCTCCGCGAGCTTGTCCCTATGCTCCTTCAGTTTGTCATGGGCCTCGCCGAAGGTGGCACGCAGGGTGTGCATCAACGCCTCCATCACCGCCTTCTTACGCTTGTCCAACTCAGCGACGTCCGATGGGGGAATGAGCCCATCCGCGTTGCTGAACTCCTCACCCAACGACAAAGTGAACATGGACTCGTCCACCGCCTGAGCAGACATCAGCGCCGACAAATCGATGGTGTTGGAAGACATCCCCGCCTGTGCAGGAGTCTGAGCCGCAACCGTGGGCACCATCGAGCGGAACAGCGTGGCCCTCTCTGCCTCGGCTCGGGCCAAGGTGGCTGCTGCATGCTGCATGGTGCTCTTGCACTTCTCAAGCTCCATCGTCAACTTGAGCTGCTGAGACTGCGCCTTATCGAAAGCCGTCTGGGCCTTCTGGACCTTCGACGCCGCCGCCGTCACCTGCTGAGTGATGGGCTGCGCCGACTCCGCCTTCTTTCCTGCAGCCCGAGTCGCATCCAGCAGCGCCTGGGCCGCCTTCGCCTGCTCGGATCCGCCTCCCTTGATGACGGCCTCTAGCTGCTCCTCGAGGGCGGCCTGCTGCTGCAACTGCTTGCCCTTGCCCTTACCCTTCGCGGCCTTAGGGCCCGCCCCTTCGCCATCACCCGCCTCAGGAGGAGGTAGGTTGCTGAAGGGCGCTCCACACAGGCACGTATTCTGATACATCGGCAACTTACTCGTCCAAGCCCAACGCGGGCACGACGAGCACTTGACCTTCGTGTCCTGCGACTGCTGTGCCCCTTCGCGAGGCTTCCTCTGAGCCCCTGGCCATGGCGGAGGCGGCGGCACAATCCACGGCTGCTGAGCCACAGGGTGCCACGGTGCCCAGCCGAAACTGGAGCTCGTAGGAGGCGCTTGCTGTAGGTGCTGAGGCCCAGGTGGACGGGGGAGGGGTGGCCCGGGTTCACCATCCTGCACCTCCTGCATTTTCCGAGCCTGTCGCCACTTCTTGCTTTTACCCATCGGGCTGACCGACTATTAGTGATCTGGATCCCCGAACTCGGGGACTTCTGATCCCAGCCGAAATCGCTTGGAGATTGTCGGTGGCCACAAAAGCTCGCAGTGCACCTGAGCACGGCGAACGGTCGGGACCAAAACGGCATGATGATGATGATGATGATGATGATGATGATGATGATGATGATGATGATGCTGATGATGATGATGATGATGATGATGAGGAAGAGGAGGAGGAGGAGG